TTCCATCCTTATCAAGCTGTTGAGTGTGAAATAATCTCTCCTTGTTTTCTTCATCCTTAAATTAGTACAGATTTCTTGCTTTATGTGACTGTACCATGACTTACCAACTCCATTTATGGATATTCAATCATATTTTCTGGATAACAATTTTGTGTTGTATATTCCACTATTTACATCACTGACAAGTTTTTTAATTGCTTGACTAGAATTTCCAAAACCATTAATAACAAAGATCAATATCCTCACTGGGTCTTGATTTTTCAGGAAATATCTTGATACTTTTTTTTGTTAAAATTAGACTTGTTGGTCCCTCCCTGGTGGCGCAGCAGGTAAAGACACAGTACTGCAGGCCAGTCGCAGCCGCTTCAGTGTGACTTCGATTCCCAGCCCCGGAGGTGACCCACATGGTGCTGCAGACCTCTCCTGTCTCACCCACTGCTCCCCTCAGCAGTGTACTTTGTCAGTCTGCTTGTTCTGCTCCCCACTTTGTCTCTGGTGAATCCTCTCACCACCCCTGCACCTCTGTTCTGCACCCCAGTTCTGTATGCATAAACAAATAAATCTTTAAAAAACTAATAAAGCAAAGTCTTTACTTAAAAAAATAGACTTGTTCTTTTTGGAACACTCTTCCCACAATTCTCCTTCCCTCACCAATTATTTGATTTGATAGTAAACCTTTAGCTGATGTTTGAGAAAGTGCAGGAGAGGGGGAGATGTCATTAATACTTTACACTGTCTGATAATACCAAGCGTTATCAGCTTGGCAAATGAGAAAACTAAAGATAGCTTGATATTTCTCCATTCCCAGAAGCTCTAGGCCACAGAGAGCAGCTCTCTCCCTTGTCTCCCAGCTGCACAGTGTGGGGCATTTGTGCCCAGCTGCTGCCCCTGTGGTGTGAGGTGTCCCTTCTGCACCAAGGAAATGTGCCCCATGGCTGTGCAGGAAAATTCCACACTGAGAACACAAAGGGCATCCACTGGCACATTTCTCCTCATCGGGCTCAGTGTTTCCATACTGAAAAAAATCCAACTCCTCTGAACTCTTAAATTTAAAATTATTTAGAGCTCCTGAACTTCCCCGTGGTAGGATGAACACAGTGGGTCCTATTTAAAGAAAACACTTTCAAAATGTGTTTGCTTTATGAGTGGTCATGTCCAGTTCCTGTTCACCTCTTAGGAACCTAACAGGAGGATTATTGGACCCACAGGTCACCATGAGAAACATGAGGATTTTTGTGACAGTAACAGCACAAGATATTAATGGGATTCGGACCTCCCAGTGACCTTAAATCGCAATACTTACATTCTTCTCATAAGAGAGACTAAAAGGAAAAGAGAATTTGGATTAGAAAAGAAAAAGGTGATGTTCCAGAATATGAATTTTAGTTTATAAACAAATAACAAGGCCATTCTCCCTACCCTAACAAAACTAACAGGGTGTTGCCGGAAACAGTAAAATTGAAAAAATAAAACACAAAAATCCAGTATCACAGGATAAGTTTTAAGTACACCAGGATCTAAAAATTTGAGCTGATAGACCGCACAGCCTATCTGGGAAAAATTATTTTTGTTTCTCTGTGGGTTTTGTTTGATACAAGTTTTATTTTATGATTATTTTTAATTGCATTTTTGTATTAAGATTATATTGACTTATACCAGTGTATGTGATCTAGGGGTGTAGATTTGCACCTCTAGAGGGTATGTCGCCACACCACCCTGACCGTCAGGGCACCGGAACTGCCCACTGTCACCCACTGGACCCCTCCGCCCTGCCCTCCCACCCTTTACCTTCCCCTTCTTGTAGCCTTGGTTCCGCCGTCAGATTGCCAGGACGTTTGTTTGTCTCGTGCATTTATCTTGTTTCTCTATATTCCGCAGATGAGTGAGACCATCAGTATTTGTCTTGTCCCTCCGACTTACTTTGCTTGGCAGTATTCCTTCTAGTTCCACCCACGTTGTCACAAGTGGCGATAAGTGATTGTATCGCTGAGTCGGAGTCCCTGTATATCTATACCTCATCGTCTTTACCCGCTCCTCTGGGCGCTTGGGTGCTTTCCATGGCTTGGTGATTGATAATAGCGCTGCAGTAAGCATAAAAGTGTCTATCTTCAACCAGTGTTGTGCTTTCTTTGAATTCATACCAAGGAGTAGAATCAGGGTTCAGTTGGGGATCATCTATGTTAATATTGTGAGCACTCCTCCCTGCAACGTGGGGGAGATGTCCTGATCATCACAGTCTCTGAGTCTGCTCTTGCCAGGCCTCGCCTACAGGTCCAGGTCCCCCTGCAGTGGCTGCCACCTGTGTGCCCAGCGGGAAGGCTGCCTCACCCTTGCTGACCACCTCGCGCTTTCTGGGGGGCTCTGGCCAAGCTGGTGCACCTTGGATGTCTAAGTCTGGCAGGATAGGCTAGCCTCAATCACTGCTGCCTCCCATGAACAGAAGGCCTATGCTGAGGAGACTGTCACTGAGTGTCACCCTGAATAACTGGGGTCTTCGAAGGCCTCCTTTAGGACTCTTTTCCATGCGCTGGTGCACACCTACCACTCTCTACCCGTCTGATGTGAACCCAGTCTCAGGTGTAGGAAACTCCTCAGACCTCCTCAGTTGAGGACACAGCAGAGCTGGCTGTCCTGGAACTTGGAGGGGCCGGGACCTCACAGGACACATGCCAGCCAGTGTGTCTGAGATGGCAGCGCAACCTCAAGCCACACAGCCTTCCTCCTGAAGGGCTGACCCCGACACCAGGTGTTTAACACAGTTACTTCTCCTTCTTCGCACGCAGGTGGATGGAGTGGAACCCTGGCTTCCCCTTGAGTATCGATGCCAAATGCCACAAGGATTTGCCCCGCGACATCCAATTTGATAGTGAGAAAGGAGTGGACTTTGTTCTGAACTACTCCAAAGCGTAAGTTTATGAGAACTTAAGGATGCTGGGCAGTCCCTGCCAAGGTTGGGGCTGCAGGCCGACCCTCCCTCCTTCCCTGGTGGGCTCTGGGGCTGGGTGAGGGTAGCTTGACCAAGCAGCTCTTCCCAAACATACTTGATAACATCTGGCCACAGGGTGTGTTCTCAGTGCTTCTTCGGAGCTGAAATACAGCAGGATTTTTAAAGTCTGCCAAGGCCCGCTCCTCCCATCTGCTTATTAAAGACACACGTTCCCAACCCCACCCCAGAGCCAAGGGAGGGGCCTTTGAACCTGTTCCCTGACCCTTCTGGGAATTCTCACCAGCACCACACAAATCTGGAAAATCTTAACTCCATGGTTGTGCAAACTGAATGAGCTTCAGGCCACCCTGAGAAGCTTCCACAGCCCCCAGAGACTGACCCATGAGGTGTGTCTCCCATGAACGGTGGTCCCTCCTAGACCAGTACAGGAGGTAGACATGCAGGGTGGAGAACCAACCCAGTCAGTTTCTGTGGCAACATTTGCCTAGTGTTGCAGCTGCTCCCTGTTCTCTGGGCATCTCTTTTGGCCAGATTTTTGCACGGAAAGGCACCCAGGCCTGAGCCACGGCCTTCCTCCTTTGGGCGTTTGGAAGCACTCCACACACACACTTGCACATACATTCACGGCATCGCACTCAGTGCTGCAGGAAAGCCCCTCACTTCAGAAAAACCTCATGCATTTGTCTCCCTGAGGCCGGCTCTAAGTGCAAGGGAGACACCCATGAAGCCTCACACTCGTGTCTGAGCACTTTCCACATGGAATCATCTATTTTAACCCTTCACAGCAACCCTGGGGACTGTTCTTGATCATGTCCAGATGAATAAACTGAAGATCCACCAGGCCCAAGTCAGGGAATTTGCCTAAGAATCCATAGGCATATGGAGAATACAGTGTGAATCCCAGGGCTCTCTGGGTCCAAAGCTGAGGCTTTATTTTCCACTGCTAAAATTGGGATCAGCTGCAAAGACAATTTTAAACCAAAAATACAGTCCCTAACGTGGCTCCCTGGAAGCTTCAGGGTGATTAAATGTCTCAGTTCCTACCCAGGAATTGACACTGGTGAGTCAAAGGCTTTTGTAGAACAGAGCCCAGACCAGATGGGAAAAGCAGGACAGAAGGTTCTTGAGAAAGGAACAGTTTAGAGATATGATGATAAGGACAGAGAGACACTGAAGTTGGAGGAGAAGTTGCCGCTTCGGGGAGCTGAGCCGCCTCTATGTAGTAATGGTGGAGGGGTAGGTTGTTTATGGGTGGGGGGGGTGGAAGGATGGATAGTGGAGGGCTGAATGCGTGGTGGGTGGTAAAGGGGTGCATGGGTGGATGGATTGTGGAGGGTGGGGGGAGGATAAGTAGGTGCGTGGTTGGGTGGATGGATAAATGGCAGGTTGGTGAGCAGATAGACAAATGGATGGTCATTAGGGAGAAGGAGGAAGGGAGGGAGGCAGAAATGAGGGTGGGAAGTGCACAGATTGTGGGATGAGAGGCAGGCTTCACCTTCATAAGGCACATGTTCTTAAATGTCCCTTCAGGTCATTGCAAATCTTTGTGTCTCAGGAGCCTAATATAGCAGCTATCAAAAGACTAGGTGCCCAGTCAACTGTGTGGAAATGACCTGAGTATGACTCAGATGGACCTCACAATTGTCCTCACTTTCTATCCCCCTCTCTCCCTCATTTTGCCTCTCTCTCTCCCAGCCAGCCACCCACGCACGCGCACACATACGCACACTGCACACACATGCACATGCACAGTCACCTTCTATCGCTCATGTTTCCCCTTCATGGCAGCCTGGATCAGTGGTTCTACTCCTAGCTGTGCACTTACAGATTCCATGCCACCAAGCCCCACCCTGCCCAGACTGTCCAGCCAGTATCTGCAATATAGGTGCAAAGATTATTTTTAAACTCCCTAGGGGTCTCGATTGTCTGGCCCACATTGAAACCACAGGCCTAGCTACCTCCCCTGGCCTCATCTTTCACCCAGCTGCATGTGGAGTCAAGTCTACTCCCTTGGATTCCAGGGTTCAGGCTCATGTCCTCCTCTCCCAGCTCCACCATCCCACCCTGGGACAGTCAGGAACATCCTTCTACTTGCTTCCCCAGACTATATCCCACCTGGCAATGGACAGTCATTCCCTTCAGTTTGTTGGAGGCTCCTTCTACAAAGCCAAATATAATTCCTTTACGTTCCTCTCTAAAGCCCTTCAGCAATTGTCCCAACCAAAGGCGAGAACCCTGCCCAGTTCTCCAGCTTCTTTAGTTCCCATCTGCACAGAAAATTCCAGTCATGTGCTGCAGGGCTGATCAGATTATCAATCATGCCCTCTTATCTTTGCCAACACCGTTTCCTCTGCCTCAAACAACCTTTTCCTCGTGGCCTGGCTAAGTCCATCTCATCATTTTTCAGGACTTGGTTAAAATACCCCTCCTCTCAGAAGCCCAGAATACCCCTTGGCCCAAGTGACCTCCTCCTCTGTGGCCTCCAGAACTGTCTACACAAGCCACCATCTCTGCAGCCACACCATAGCCCATCTTTCTCCACATTTTTCAGGGCACTGGCTCCTGGCTACAGATTAATTGGAAATAACAGAGCAATGAAATCCTGAAATGGGCCCTCAGCCCCTCCTGGGTCAACTGGGCAACACCCTCTGTTGACACAGTGAACTGAGAGACATGAGGTCCTAAGAAGGAGATAAGAGCTGTAGATTTAGGATTTGAGGCAGGGGCAGCCTGAGTTAAGGGGAGTTGACCTTGGAGACAAAGGTCAGAGAGACCCCACCCCAGAAGATGAGGGGTATATAAGAGAGGGCTCTAGGCTACTAGAAGGTGATCCTTGGGAGTTATCCAACTTCTCTTAACTTCATTGTCTTCATCTGAAAAACAAGACAGCTTATTCAGGTTTCTTCTAGAATAAAATAGAACCACACATGTCAATACTGTACAAAGAAGTTTCTCCCTAAAGTTAGCTTTAATCTTCATCCCTTTTGCTAGTGGGCTGGGGTCGGGACAGCCAGGATACACTTCTCCATCATCACACACCTGCTGAGTATCTGCTTCTCAGACCAGACCATGCCCCCAAGGGTGCAGAGTGGGTCCTTCCCTCTCTCTAATTATCTTATTTATGGGTCCAGGAAGGCTTCACAGAGAAGGGCACTGATCTTTTCTTGCTGCCAGTCAGGGAGACATAGGTGGGGCCTGGTGGTGTGTGGTACAGATGTTCTGCCAGCGAGACCCCCAGAAGATGGCCTCAGAGGTGGCTCCCCATTTGGATGCTGGGAGGATAACTGGAAAGTCATCCAGAGGATATAGTGATGTGAAGCAAGACTAGAGCATCAGAGACCAACCTGACCATACCAGAAAGAACAGTGAGAAAATTCAATCCCATACAACAAAAGGTGGGTGGAGAGACACACCTAGACACAGCAGCCGAGGCAGAAACTAGCCATGCAAATCTCAGAACTATGCCCTCATGTTTGGCCAGCAACCCAGGGGAGGGAAGAGCTGATTAGTGTGGATACACACCCTTAACTGAGAGCAGACAGGGGCAGAAAAGCTGGGGGCAGGGGCCAGGCGGGTCTTCAGCCACGATGACAAGACATGGAATGGTTCTGCCTTTCTCTACCCCCGTGGGACTGGAGCTGAACCTATAAAACACAATAGTGCAACCCCACAGACCAGAGCTGCAGGTCTGGAAATCCATGAAGAATGGATTTCCAAACACCAGCCACTCAGCACAACGCTTCCACCAGTGAATGGAGCCTCCAGGTTCCTCGCCTACTCCGTAACTCAGCAGCTGCCGATCAGTTCTCCCTGCCATACTGTGCCATTGCTGGGTACATGGAAATTCTGCCCCCTTAGGACACTTGAAAGGGCAGCCAGCTAGAAAGCTTAAAATATGAAGATGAAAATCCACAACACATGGCACCTTGAGCCCTCCAAAGAATATTCCACCACAGAAAAATCACATCTCCAGAACCCAACCACAATGACAGGGAAGATCTAGTCTTCCCATCAGGTACCAAGTTCAAAAAGCCATATAAAGAAATTCAAAGAAATGGGAGGAAATAATGAAACACAAAGATACACAAGGAAGTGGAGAAAAACAAATAAATGTCCTCAGAAATCAAATTAATGAACAAGAGATAGAAGTTAAAGCTCTAAAATAAGAAAATAACAGAAATGCATGATTAAAAAAATCAATAGAGGTGATTAAATAGTTTGGAGAAAGCTATGGAAGAAGAATAGACCTCATGGAAGAGTGAAGACAGAGCAGGGCATCAGGAATTGACAATAAACTTCCTTAAATTATTCTAATGTGTAACTAAAATTCAGAAGCCCTACTATAAGGAAGCAATTAACCATTCAGGTGATATGTCCTACTGCACCAAGTGATATGGTGGAGTAATCAAAATTTATTCTGGGAATTCAGAGGAACCATTTCCAGTCCACACTATAGAACTACAACCCAATTTTCCAGAAGAACATATAAAAATATATGTTATATATAAAAATCCTAAATAAAATCTTAGCAAATGTATTCAGAAATGCATTACAAATATTATACACCATGACCACATGAGACTTATTCCAGGGTTAAAAAAATTGATTTACCCTCCAAAAATCAATCAACATATTTCACCACTTCAACAAAAGAAGATAAAAATCATATGGTCATATCAATAGATACATAGAAAGAATTTTATAAGATTCAACATCCATTTATGATGAAAATCCTCAAAAACTGGAGAGATGGAACATGCCTCAACATACTAAGAGCCACACATGACAAACCTACAGCCAAGATCATATTCCGCAGCAAAAGATTGACAGCTTTTCATTTAAGGTCTGGTACAAGACAAGAATGGCCACTTTCACCACCACTATTCAGTATAGTATTAGAAGTTCTAGTTACAGCAATTAGGCAGAAGAAAGGTATAAAGTGAATCCAAACCGTGAACC